CCCATGTTATTGGTCTTATTGTCCCTGTGCTGGGGTGTTTATTTAAATAGTGATTATCTCGGGTTTGGCTGGTCCGATTGACTTAAGGTTAATATCATTCAACTCTGCTCGTGACCGCCTTTTATCCTTGGCCCAGCTTGCCCTGCTCAAGATTTTTAGAATGATTTTAATCTTATTACGCTAAAGAAGTATAACATCTTACGTGCATACGTAAGTACACACACGCCTTTTTTTTAACAAATAATTTTACTTGTTACTGTTAGTGCTCGTTAAGAGAAGTGTGCAGTATAATTAACAAATTTTATGATTTATTTTAGAACCGAGTATATTTGATTAAATTGGATTCGTCATTAAAATAGTTTCCTTCTTTCTTTCTAGGTGGCAAAATTTATACAGCTTTCTTACCTGTTTTCATGAAAAATAAAGGTTTTACAATAGCTCATTTATCGATAATTACAGCAATAAGTGTAGCTTTTCAACTTTTCGGAACTGTGTTATCAGGAATTATCACAGATAAAATAGGCCGAGCAAAACCAGTCCTTAATATTTATTTTGCAATATTTTTACTATCATCTGTTTGCCTGGTAATAATGCCAAATGTGAACGAGTGCAATGAAGAAACTCTTAACTTACAATGCTATAATGAAGAAATGCCTCACTTTACAACTGCCTCCTCTTGCCAAACATTCAAAAACAATTCTGAAATATTTTCATGTTCTATTACTGACTTAAGAAATACAAGTTTGAATGGTGACCAAAAAAACTGCACGTATTTCCCTAAATTAACTAATCTGGATGTGAATGTAGACAAGAATACCTTGATGAATGTTGAAGATATGTGTCATTACAAGGTAAATTTCAAAAACTATTCAGCAATCACATCATGTGTCACTAAAGATTGTGCGTCACTTGAAATGAAGTGTGTCAACAATAACTTTTCAAGTTGTAATACAAATGTCGGATTGTGGATGATCATTTATGGTATTTTAATTTCCATTCTTAACCTATCTCACACTGCAACATACAGACTTTTCGATGTAGTTGTAGTGGATCTAACAACCGAACACAACAATGATTTCGGAAGACAAAGAGTTTGGTCTATTCTGGGCAGTTTCTGTGGACCACCTTTAGCTGGATACATTTTGCATCAATTCGCTTTTAACGGAAACCAGAAAAATTATTCCTTGGCTTTTGTTTGTTCCATAATCTTTACCGTTTTATCTGTTGCTTCTATATGGCCTGTGGATGCACCATCGAACAAACCAGCTAAAAAGATGTGGAAAAAATCCTTACAATTTGTAAGAAAGTTGGAAGTGTTTTTATTTATTGTACTTCTTTTGGTGGCCGGATCATCTTTCGGTTTTCAAGCAGTTTATGTAAGCTGGTACTTGCAGGAAATAGGAGCATCAGATCTAGTTATTGGGGTGTCTCGAGGTATAAATGGATTATATGGATTGCCTTTTCTGTATTCCTCTAAATGGTGGATTAGCAGGGTAGGCGAACGCAAAATCTTTGTTTTGGCTTTGCTTGGACATGCCATTTTCTGTTTTTCTTTTTCGTTGATGTTGGAACCTTGGTTTTCAGTCGTTATTGAGGCGACGAGCATATTGAATTATCATTTGTTTTGGGTTGCAGTAATGCAGTATGTTACAAAGATCGCTCCCGATGGTCTGCAAGCAACACTGAAAGTAATGGCAGGATCTCTACATTTTAATATAGGTGAGTTAAGATTATTTTATTCATTTACTTAAAGATTTATTTAAGCGTTATCTAATTCAAAAATTTGTATTTGAAAGTTAAAGAAGGGAAATTACAAATAATGCTTAAATCTTAAAGAAAAGACATAAGTTTCTCGAAACATTTGAACAACTGATGGCAACCCAAAAAACATTGAAGAAAACAATAAACTTAATTAGTCAAAATTTAATGCTTATCAAAAAAAAAAAAAAAACCCTACGAATTATTACATAGGGTAAAGAAAGGAAAAACATTTCATTTGTGTGTTTTTCTGTTTATAGAGACTGGTATGTAAACTTTGTCTTGTAAAAGTTTTTAAGTAATACAATTTATTAATTCTTATTTTTCACATTTTTATGATACGTTACACTGCATAAAATATAGAACACTAAGATGACAAAATTCTATTGACATCTAATTATGTTCAAATGTGCCCTTGAAAATATATTTCAATTTCTTATAGTATATATATATATATATATATAAGCCTCGCAATTTTAATCCTCAGTCAAGTGACTAGGATGACATGTGAGATGGCATCCACTTTCCAAGCTTCAATATCAAAGTTAAAAGTTAGAGCTTCGACAAATTTAATGTGCATCATGCCCTTTACACGGCAAGTCTTCAGTCTCACTAAAACCCATGACCAGGTAGCGATGGTCACTAGTTTGCTGTTATAAAATCTCGGCTACTGTGGCAAGAATTCCCTATTAGCTCTATATAGTCACACTTCTTCATTCAAGAGGCCGACTGCGACCAACTAACGCAATATGTGGTGTGAAGAAAATTCGCTTGTGAGCTTGATTCACTTATTCGTTTCCAATCAATGACGTAGCTTAGGCAAAATTGACTCTTGCGTCATTGACCTCACAGTCAATTACTCACTCATCTCCAGTCAAGGACACATGATTTGCTTCTTTTTTTCACCGAAAGAAAAAATTAGAATCGATGTGTTTTGAACTCACATATATCGAATAAGAAAAGAAAAAGTGAAACAATAATTAGCGGTGAGGTTCATAATTTATTTATATACTTATTTTTTTATTTAATTTACTTCTTTATTTATTTTTGTCATTAGGAAGATTAATATCTACAATGGTTGGTGGTTATATCATGAGTATATTCGGTGGAAGAATGGCATTTACAGTAATAGGAAGCATTACTTTAGTTTATGCAGTGATATACAGTATTTATCTTGGTTGTCAACAACATTGCACGAAACAAGTAAAGAAAGATCCAGACACTTAGTAAGAACAAATTATTTTTTGTTATTTTTCACATTTAAAATATGTGTATTATGTATTAAAATACATTTGTTTCCATTATAAGCCTTTTTTAGTAATAAACATTAAATTTTGTTGTATTTCCTTTATTTCCACATATTTCCAAATGTAAAGCATTCTGATTTCCTAAAGCCCATCATTGTATGAGAAACATTATTCGCGTCAAAAATAAACTAAATAAACTACAGAGTAGTACTCTCACTGAAATAAATTTACTAATTATAATAATAAAATCACCTTGAAAACTATATTGCCTTATTTTATATTGCCCTTATGATATCTTTAATTTTAGTTAATGAAACAAATTAATGTATAAAATGAATTTTTTTTTACCTATTAAAGATAAAGTGTATTAAAAGACTTGGATGATGAGAGGTATAGTTAATTCATATTATTTTCATACGTTTAAAAGGATTATACAAGTTAAGTATTGCATTATTGAAGAAACGTGAGACTTGGAAGTATAATATCACTTTTCAAAATTAATTATTATTATCTCATCTCAGCTTAGGCTTGAATGTGCTACAGAAATCATTATGGTGGCATTTCTTATATGGCGACGTCATACATGTTCATTATATAATTATTATTTTTATATTATGTACAATTACGCCAGAAGTAAAATTCTGTCAATTATAGTAAAATTTTGAAACAAGTAAATATTAATTATTTGCTTTATATTTAAAATTTACATTTATGCGGGAAATTTAAGAATTTCTCAAAAGGTATACTTACTTTATTGAAATCGTATTAAATTGAATTTTTGTGGCAAGTAGTTGCGGTACAGTTCTTTTACAAATACTCTTCCTTTAAATTTTTCTGGGGGTAATTTTATTCTGCTAATGAAATAATTATAATTCCGGAAAAGAAACTCGAAATAGAGAGCAATTTTTTTATTGAAAGAAAGTTGAATATTTAGATAAGTAAAAAATAGAGAAAGGTTTAAAATATAATTATTATGTGTTCGTATAATATGTGTAGTAACTAATATATAATATTACTAATATATACTATTAGTATATAACTAATATATACTAATATTGCGCTTAAATTTATTTTCCAGGTAGAAGTTGCAGTATTACTTGGAAAGGAAGTTAAGGGCTTGATGCTATTGTTCTTGGAATAGAAACATGTTTTATTTGCACTATTTTAGAAGCT